GACAGTCCAGGCTGTCTCCCCATCTCAAGGTCAACTCATCAACCACCTGAGCTCCATCTTCCCCTTCAGTCCCCTGCCCTATGGCATAAAGAGTCACAGGCTCCAGGGATTAGAATGTAACCATATTGGGGACAGTTATTCTTCCCATCACAGCACCCATTTCCCTGTATTCAATCCCCCTTTACCCCAAAGACAGTCAGGTCCTGGGTGATGGGACCCTGACGGACACTCCCAGCAGAAGTTCTGGGATTCAGGAGGTGGGACAAGGAGAAGCCCAGACAGGAGCCCTCTGACCTGTGACCCTGATCACGAGGGGGTCACTGAGTGCCGACCACTCAGTGGGGGAGTGCGGGTATGAACCCCGACATCTGTAGGTCCCTGCGTGTGCCGGGGTCACAGGGCCCATGAGGAAGCTCTGGTGGAATATTCTGCTGTGGAAGACGGGAACGTGGCTTCTGTCGTCTTTGTACAGAGTGAAGTTGGTAAAGTTGTTAAACCCACGACGATAGTGACACCGAAGAGTCACGTGTCCTCCCTGAGGCACCAGAGCGCTGGGCTGGGCAGACAGGGAGGTCTTGTCCTGACCACCTGGGGGAGAAGGAGGCGCCGCCTTAGAGAGGAGGATGTGGAGCCTCCCCTCCCTCCCTGTGCTCAGAAGATTCTTCCCCTTTCCATGTTTCTAAGGCTCCTACCACACCTTGGTGTCCAGGGCTACAGGAAGAACCTATCTAGCATGGACATGGCATCTCCCTACAACAAAGGTGTCAGCTGAGAACTTTGAACAAGTGCTGAATAAGGGACTCTTACTAGATTTTAACGCTTCAAGATGACTCACATAAAACAACACAAAGTAGACATGGCATGGAGGGCATGTCCTTTGTGAATGGAACATCAGCCAGTGCATGAACTGAGTCCCCATCAGAGATTTGGAATGTCAGGGTCATGGCTGTGGTTTCCCCACCTCTTCTGGTAGAATGACAGCAGCCACACTGCAGTCCTGACCGTCATGCAAACACTGGAGGGTGTGAGTTACACCTTTGTCCTCAGAGGACCTGCTGTTCCTAGCACTGCTTCCCTCCCTTCCTCAGTCGCTGACACCACTTCCTCCCTGCACACCTCAGCTTGGAGCACCCCGAGCTCACCCCGGTCTTCACAGTGCTTGACTCGGCCAAGGGTAAGAAAGGCCAGAGAGGACGAGGTCAGAAGTGTGAGCCGAGCACCTCAGGGTCCCCCCTTCTTAGTTTATGAGACACTGTCTGACAGGACTTCCCTCCTGTTTCAGGAAAATCCTCTTAGGTGGGGAGATGACACCCTAAGGTTTGGGGAAGGACTCACCCGTGTATGGACAGGCCCTCTGGACCAAGAAGAACCCTGGAAAGAAAGATCATGATGGATGATCCATCTGCAGGCAAACCTGGGCCTCCCCTGCTGCCCCCACGGGGCTGTGCGTCTGGGCAGCCAGGCCCTTGCTGGGCTGAAGGTAAACTCACCCTGGCTGCCTACCTGCCCCCGCAGCAGGGATCTCAGCTGTGCAGAGACCCAGCCTCTTGATCCAGATCTGCACCCCAGGCCTAGATCTACACAACAGGCCCATATGTCCACTCCATGCTGATATCTCTACTCCAGGCCCACATCTCCACTCTAAACCCATATCTCCCCTCCAGGCTCATATCTGCACTCCAGGCCCATATCTCCACTCCAAACCCATATCTCCCTTCCAGGCCCATATCTCTATCCCAGACCCATATCTCCATCCCAGACCCATATCTCCACTCCAGGATCATATCTGCACTCCAGACCCATATCTCCACTCCATGCTGATATCTCTACTCCAGGCTCACGTCTCCACTCCAAACCCATATCTCCCCTCCAGGCTCCTATCTCCCCTCCAGGCTCATATCTGCACTCCAGGCCTATATCTCCACTCCAAACCCATATCTCCCCTCCAGGTTCATATCTCCCCTCCAGGCCCATATCTCCTCTCCAGGCCCAGATCTCCACTCCAGGTCCATATCTCCACTGTAGACCCATATCTCTACTCCAGGAACATATCTCCAGTCCAGGCTCCTATCTCCACTCCAGGCCCAGATCTCCAGCCCAGGCCCATATCTCCACTCTAGACCCGTATCTCCACTCCATGCTCATGTCTCTACTCCAGGATCCTGTCTCTATTCCAGCTTAATATCTCTACTCCAGGCCCATATCTCCATTACAGGCCCATCCCTCCATGCCAGGCCCATATCTCCACCCCAGGCCCATATCTCCACCCAGGCCCGTATCTCCTCTCCAGGCCCATATCTCCACCCAGGCCCATATCTCCACTCCAGGCCCATAACTCCACCCCAGGCCCCTATCTCCACCCCAGGCCCAGATTTCCACTCCAGGCCCATATCTCCACCCAGGCCCATATCTCCACTCCAGGATCGTATCTCCACTCCAGGCCCAGATCTCCACTCCAGGATCATATTTCCACTCCAGGATCATATCTCCACTCCAGGATCATATCTCCACTCCAGGCCCATAACTCCACCCCAGGCCCCTATCTCCACCCCAGGCCCAGATCTCCACCCCAGGCCCATATCTCCACCCAGGCCCATATCTCCACTCCAGGATCATATCTCCACTCCAGGCCCAGATCTCCACTCCAGGATCATATCTCCACTCCAGGATCATATCTCCACTCCAGGATCATATCTCCACTCCAGGCCCATAACTCAACCTCCAGGCCCAGATCTCCCCTCCAGGATCATATCTCCACTCCAGGCCCAGATCTCCACTCCAGGCCCATATCTCCACTCCAGGATCATATCTCCACTCCAGGCCCATATCTCCACTCCAGGGCCATGTCTCCACTCCAGGCCCAGATCTCCACTCCAGGATCATATCTCCACTCCAGGCCCATAACTCAACCTCCAGGTCCAGATCTCCACCCCAGGCCCAGATCTCCACCCCAGAGCTTCCTCCGTCGATTCCCTTCCGGGACTCACCAACACACGCCAGGCTGACGACCATGAGCGACATGGTGCTGCCGGTGCAGAAAGGCGGCTGCGCCCCAGCTCAGCTCAGCAGCGCACAGGATGTTATCTGGCGCCCTGCCCATGCAGTTGACGTGCTGACCACATCATGGGAGGTGACGTACGCAGGCTCTTCCTACCTTGCATGAGGTGCAGCGGGTGCTCACTCAAGAGTGCAAAATGGCTTCCTGGAAATTGTTCTCACTAGAACTGACACCTTGTGTCCTTCACTATGACCAGCTCAAAACACGTCTCAGATCCAACCTCCCGGACATGAGGTGACTAAAATCTGTGCTGACGAGAAAGACTTTTCACGTATTTTTGTTGTTTTTATCTGTGTTTCAAACTCTTCTCCGTGTATAATATGCGAAATATCTAATAGGTATTATGAACATTGTCAGAGTAATTGTAACGAATAAACCATTAGGATGTTTCATGCTTGTATTTCTAGTACGACAGCAGAACCAGTTTAAATGATTTAAATACCCAGGGAAGGATTATGCAATGATGTACAATCTTAGAACTGTTCTTCATCAGCAAAACCCACAACATGTCAATTCTGGATTTTTGTCATTTTATCTACAATTTGTCTCATGACCTGAGAGTCCAGAGCCCCGAACTTATGGTTCACTCTCTCTCTGTCTCTCTGCCTCCCTCATTTTGAATTGTATGAAAATACCCAGTAACATAATGCTATAGAAAATCAAGTGTCCCCCAGCACTTTGGGAAGCCGAGGTGGGCTGATCAGCGGAGGTCGGGAGTTCGAGAACACCCTGGCCAACTTAGAGAAACCATGTCTCTGCTAAACATACAAAAATTAGCCATGCCTGGTGGTGGGCACCTGTAATGCCAGCTATCAAGAGGCTGAGGCAGGAGAATCGCTTGAACCTGGGAGGCGGAAGTTGCAGTGAGCCGAGATCGTGCCACTTCAGTCCAGCCTGGGCGACAGAGCGAGACTCCGCCTCAAGAAATATTTTAAAAAGCCTAGCAAATAGCCTATAATAACAAAGTAGAGGACTCCAGCTACCGAATTTTAAGGGGTTGTGGATGCCTACATAATGTGCAGCATCCTCAAGAGAGCGAACGCAGAGAGCCCCTTATTGGAAAACAGTGTCTAAAATACATCCGTGTACACACAGCCCCGTTAGAGTTGACAAAGGCTGCCGTGTGGTTTAAGGAGGCATAGAATGTCTTCTCCATAGATAACATGGGCCCAAGGGTTACACATAGAAAAAAATAAATCTAAACGTACTCTCACACTATAAACCACTTCTTGTTTTTAATCTTGTTATTGTACATTTTTTATGATTCATATTTAAAACTGAGAAATAAAAGTTAGATCCAATCATCATTCATTATTCATGGGTGATTGGTTTCAGGATCTCGGCTCAGATACCACAGTCTGCAGGTGCTCAAGCCTCTTACATGAAATGGCACAGGGTTTGCATATAATCCATGTTCATCCTCCTGTATACATGAAATCATCTCTAGATTACTTATAATTCCTGACACAGCCTACACACCATTCCATTTGTGTCCATTCAATATAGTTTTGCTTTTTGAAACTTTGTGGATTTTTTCTCTGAATATTTTTGGTTTATAGTTGGTTCAATAAACACCTGTAAACCCCCAGATCTGGAGGAGCGACTGTGTATTGATAGTATGAAGATGATGTGTGGACATGTGTCCCCGTGGAGATGAGACTAACAAGGCCTATGACTCTACAAATGTTTCATCTTGGAATGGCTCTGCCAGTTTTCCAGGTGTGCAGAGAGTAGGAATATTACTTGTTCATGTGATTCACGATCCTTGCAACCTCCTACGTGCTGCATCGTTGGATGGAAATTGGAGTCCCAGAGACAAATCAGGCTCCACCTCTTCCAGAAGCTCAGATTCCAGGGGCGAGAACCCAGTGGAGAACATATGGGGTTATATGAACATAGTAATGATAACACCAGAAAATTCAGGCAAAAAAAGACTCACCTATAGAATTGGACAGTCACGTTTATTTGAAGACGAGAGAGCAACATAGAAATCACAACAAATTTTTATAAGGTTTACTGATGACAGAAGACTGAAAAATCGTCTGAGGGGAGGTGGAACAGCATGAGGGAAGGTGGAACAGCACGTGTCTAAGTGCCATGTTAAGACGGAGCCTCTTGTATGTTTGGAATTGTGAGCTCCTCAGTGTGACTGCAGTCTCAAGTAGGACTAGGAAGCAAGTCAGTTAGTTTGGAGAGGTGGGCAGGGGTCAAGTGAAATGGAGAATTGTGGGATAAGCAAAGGAGTGTGTTTTCTCTCCAGCAGGCAGTGGGAACCGCAGACATTGGTAAGCAAGACAGAGCCAGCAGATTTGTGGTGTGAGGAAGAGCAATGCTCTAAGATGCAGAGTCGAGATTTCAGATACCAGCTGCTGGTACATTGGAGCTGTGAAGCTGGTTTTGAGAAAGGGCTGTGGTCTCCCTAGAAGACCCCTCCAGGCCTGTCTGTGGTGCTCCTGGGCTGGAGACAACGATCTGGGCTCAGCATCTGGAAGCTCTATGTACACGCTGGTATCTGTTGGGGGTCTCTTGGGCCTCTGAGAAGGGCGAGTGATTTTTCCCCGTGTGAAAGCGCAGTGATCCAACTGTGCGTATGTCACCTCCTGAGGGTCTTGTTCTTCAGAGTCCTGGAGAGAGGGAAATGTTGAGTGAGGGAGGGGCTCACATTCTTCAGGACTAGTAGGGAATAAGACTATAACCATGAGGCTGGCCTTAGGAGGACCTACCTGCCTGTTCACTGTTCTGTCCCCACAGGCTCTTGGTCCATTACAGCAGCATCTGTAGGAGACAAAAGTCATCAAAACAGCTGGGAGGGCACGTCTGGGTCCTCATTTCATGTGCACATACCAACACACAGGGGAGGCCGTAGGTGCCTGAGGTCCCTCAGCTGCCAACAGCCAGACTCAGACATTCTGTCTCTCTGAGTGCAAGGCCCATCCCATGAAGAGCTGTCAGTTCCCATCCCAGTGATTCTGCCTCCCACTTTCTGCCTGTCATGGAACCTTCTCCTGGATGTCAGTGGCTGCAGGGACATGAGGATACAGTTCAGAATCAGGCAATGGTCTGTGAGCTGAAGGCAGGGACAGGGTGTCTGGTGCTCTCTCTAGAAATCCCTGCCTCTGTAGCTCCTGCTTTGGGCCAGAGACCATCCTGCCGGTGAGAAACACACACCTGCGTGCTCCCATCCCTCCTCATCCTCCCTCCCCACACGGCCCTGAGGTCTCTGGCCTCTGCTTCGTGAGACTTACTCTTTTTGTCGGAGCACCAACGACGAAGGAGAAAGAAGAGGAGGATGGTGAAGATGATGGTGGCCACCGAGTACCTAATCACAATAGGTACCTGGAGGTACCTGGTGATACCTGGAGGAAGATGGAAATCCAATGAGAAGCTCACCATAGCAGTTCCTCTTTGAGGATTGTCTCTCATTTCTTGGTTGCCAGGCAACCCCATAAAACATCTCTTTAGGACAAGCACCCACGTGGTGGGAGACCCAGCTTTCTCCTGCTTTCTCAGTTATAGTTTTCATAATAACCACGGAATGTGCCGATGAGACACCTGCTATCGTATGGATATTTGACCCCCCGAAGCTTCACTTTGAAATTTAACCCTGAGTGTGGGAGGTTGGGCCTATCGGGAGGTGTTTGGGTGATGGGGCTGGATCCATCATGAATAGATTAATGCTGCCCCACACGACGGGGTTAGCACGTTCTCCCTCTATTAGTACTCTGGAGAGTTGGTTCTTAAAAAGAGCTTGGAAGCTCCATCACACCCCGTTTCTCCCTGTCTTGCTGTGTGATCTCGGTGGTCTCTGCACATGTAGGCCCCCGTCTCTTCTACCAGAGTAGGAGCAGCCTGAGGCCGCAGCCAGAAATAGATGCTGGTGTCCTGCCTCTTGTACACCTTGCAGAACCGTGAGTCAACCAATTCTCTTTTCTGTAGAAGTTACCCAGGCTCAAGTGTTCTTTCACAGCCTCAAAAAGGGACTAAGACGGCAACATCCTGAGATCAGGAGGAACGTCCCAGAACAGCCTGGGCTGTCTTCCTGTTCTTCCCAGAGGAGGACGTCATGCAGTGCTTTAGCTGAGTGCTTCCTGTGGCTCCAGGGTACAAAACCCAGGCAGGGCTGCTTTCTGGGTTCCCCCAGCTGCAGTGCAAATGGGGTGACTCCATATGTCCCGAGCAGCTTTTCTGAGCCTTGGGGGACTGGCTCACACTGAAATGCAGGCTTCTGTTGTCAGTTGCTGGTTATCCGTTAGTAATGAACCTGCCTATGTCATGTATTCTCTGTGCGTTCTGTCTCCCTGGAGTGACGGTGAGTGACAGAAACTGGCAGAGCCCCAGGTGCAGTACAGGAGGTGTTTAGAGTCTTCTCTGGGAAGACTGGACTGGGATTGATACACAGTGAATGTGCTTTACAATTTCTACGGCCAGAACCCTCTTGACTCAAACACATTACATTCAGGAAGAAAAGGCATAAAGTGAAATCAAGATCAGAATAGTGAAGTAGAACTGTCATATATCCAACAGCCAGGAAATAATGATGAAGCTCGTGAAGAACGTGCTCCTTTTTGTGATCTCAGGAGTCATATATTAGGCTGCTGTTCTACCTGAGAGTCCGGAGGAAGGACAACCTCCTCTATCGTCTATTGCTTCCGTACAACCTGTCCTGTGAATTCGTACAAAAGGTAACCAGGAGATGGTGCTGGTGCTGGTCTCTGAGTCCAAGGTCTGAGCTCCAAAGAATGTTAGTTTTTACCTTCCCATGGTCTATCTGTGTCTCTTAATGTGATAGGGAGTAACGGTGAGGTGGGGGATTTGGGTGAGGGGGCAAGTTTTATGCCATGAACAGAGAACTTTCTCTATTCCAGGGCCTGTGCTGGTGGGTTCGGGGGCCTTTCATATTTTCCATATGATCTCAGGCTCATGGAAAGCAAACAGGGAAGACGTTTTTGGCTGATTTTCTAATGGATAAGATAAAGGATCAAAGAAGTCGTTATAGAGAAATAGAAAAATGATAATTGGGATTGAAGTGCCTTTGTCATTTCTGTATGTTATATGACAATTATGTGTTTTGTACTTTTATTTTTTGAGATGAAGTCTCAATGTGTTGCCCAGGGTGTAGTCCAATGATGCAATCTCGGCTCACTGAAACCTCTGCCTCCCGGGTGGAAGCCATTCTCCGGCTTCAGCCTCCCGAATAGCTGGTATTACAGGCACCCGCCACCATGCCCAGCTAGTTTTTGTTTATTTAGTAGAGTTGGGTTTGAGCATGTTGTCCGGGCTGGTCTTGAACTCCTGACCTCAATGGATCCATCCGCCTCAGCCTCCCAAAATGTTGGGTTACAGGTGTGAGTCACCGTTCACAACCTTGCGTGTTATATTAATAAGTCTATTCCTTTGCACCACCCCTCATGTATCAATCAGACCTCTGCCAGGTACTGATTTACATGTAGGAAAAATAAATCTCAGAAAGAAATTAATGAAGTGAAGATTGAACAATTACGAAAAATCAAACCAGGCAAGCCCTCCCTGTGAATTATTCTACCTCACATACACATCTTATATCCATCTACTTCATTCATTTAGTGTCTAAATACACAACACATTTCACCAGTGGGGCGGGAATCGCCTTTTCCACGATCTCCTAGATTCCAGTTACGCATCTGGGCCTCCCTTATGTTCATGTCAGTCACTATTAATCATGTACGGATTCCTAGTTTGCCCGAGGTGAATCCAAGGGCTGTGAGTATAAAACACACACTCCTTGTCCTCCTTAGTTTCCTGTGTGCCCAGTGTGCTCTTCTCTCTCTCCAGCGGTCTTGTAATTCTCCCATCTCATTCCCAGCACTTCAGGCAGAACCTCTTCCTTCCACATAAGATTGTTTTCACCTTTGTGCCTTCACGGCTGACTGCTATGTGTGGAAAATCCTTCCGCCAGTCTTCCAGGGGTTGATCTATTTTTTTTCGTTAAGATCACAAGTATTATTTGATCAGTGAGAACTTCTCTGTGACCTGAAATCATACACTCAGCATTATCTGTTATTTAGTTTAAATTCTGGCTGGGTGCCGTGGTTCACGCCTATAATCCGAGCACTTTGGGAGGCTGAGACGGTCGGATTACTTTAGATAGGGAGTTGGAGATAGACTGGGCCACATGGTGAAACATCGTCTCTACCAAAAAACTACAAAAAGAATTAGCCAGGTGTGGCGGCGGGGGCCTGTATCCAAGCTACTTGAGAGGCTGAGGCAGAAGAATCACTTGAACCCAGGAGGCGGAGGTTGCAGTGAGCCAAGATCGTGACGCTGCACTCCAGCCTAGGGGATAGAGCGAGACTCCGTCTTAATAAATACATAATGTTTCCCAATGGATCAGCCATTTATTGATCCACTTGTGCATTCATTTTCTTTTCTCTCATTTACCCATCTGCAACGTCAGTGTCCCAAGAGCACAGGCCAAATGCATCCTGTTTACTATTTGTGGAAGGCAGGAGAATCCACTCCACCCCAAAAATATCCCTGTCCTAGCCTTCATACCTTGTGAACATGTGATTTTACGTGAAAAAGAGGAATGAAGATTTCAGATGGAATTACGGTTGCTAATCAGCTGAAATGAAAAGGAGGGTATCCTGGATGATATTAGGGAGATGATGATAGATAATCTTGGTGAACCCAATAAAATCCCAAAGTCCTTAAGAAATGAGGAAGAAAGCAGAGGAACATTCAGAGAAAGAGGCGTGGATAAGGAAGAAGGGTCTGAGTGATGCCATGTGAGACGTGACCAGTCTTTGTGGGTTTTGAGGAAGGAGGAAGGGGACCAGGAGCCAAGGAACGTGGGAACCTCTAGAAACTGGGACATGTGGAAAGCAGATTCTTGCCTGGAACCTTCAGAGGGAAGGCAGCCTTGCTGTCACCTTGATTTTAGCCCAGTGAGGTGCATTTCATCCTTTGAGCTACAGCACTGTAAGATAATTAAAAAGCCGTTTTGTTTTCATCCACCAATTTTGTGGAAATTTGTTATGGCAACAGTAGGAAAGGATTCCAACTGCACAGCCTGAGCATGGGGCCATGGCTGAATGAGTCAGTGAGTCGAAGTGTGCGTGCATGAGCTCTGTTCTCTGTTACTCGAGGCTCTTGCTCTGCTGAGTCAGCCAGGGTTGCCTCATGACCAACAGGAGCTCATTCCTTGGCAAGTGGAACTTCTCGGAAACACCTCACCCTCATTAGATGTTCCCTTCCCTTCCCTCTTTCAAGCCCCCAGGAATTTATCCTCCAGTTAGGAATGCAGGGAGAACAAACACTGCATTTTTCCTGAGAAGGATGTCAGATTTGCAATCATTCTTCCAGCATGTAGGAGGTCTCAGCTGCAGAAGATTAGAGATTAAGAGACTTCACTGAGCCCTGTGCTGGGCCAAGATCCCTTTTGCTTTTGGAGTGTCTGGAGTTCAGAGAGATGGTGGAAGACAGGCCCACAATCAGAGCTGGGAGGTGCTGAGCCAAGGCTTGAATCCAAGGCTTCCACCTCCCCAGGTTTCCAAAAGCAGAGATAAGAGGGATTCTTTACTCACTGGTTTTGCAGCTTGGTTCAGTGGGTGAAGGCCAACTACTTGAAGGGTTTCCTAGAATAGAGACAGGAGAGAGGTGAGGAAATGAGGGTGCCTGTCCTCTACTCAGGGGAAATCTTTGAGGTTCATTCATGGCCAACACTCTGTTATCCAACACTGGCTCTGGGAGTCCTGGGATTCTCTTCTCCGCGATTTTTGTATGTGTTGCCCCTTGTCTTGAGACTTTAAGATATATAGAGAAAACAGGAACATCACATTACCTGACTTAAAGATATGTTACAGAGCTGTAGTAAGCAAAACAGCATGACGTTGGCATGAAGAAAAGTGTGTAGAACAACGGAGCAAAATGAAGAACACAGATATAATCTATGCATCTACATTCAATGGCATTTTTTCTTTTTTTTTTTTGAGATGGAATCTTGCTCTGTTACTCAGGCTGGAGTGCAGAGGTGCAATCTCGGCTCACAGCAACCTCTGTCTCCTGAATTCAAGCAATTTTCTTGCCTCAGACTCTCAAGTAGTGGTATTACAGGCGCTGACCACCATGCTCAGCTAATTTTTGTACTTTTAGTGGAGACAGGGTTTACTATGTTGGCCAGGCGGGCCTCGAACTCCTGGTCTCAGGTGATCCACCCACCTTGCCCTCTGACAGTGCTGGGACTGCAGGTGTGAGCCACCATGCCCAGCCAATCCAATGCATTTTGACAAAGGTGTCAAGAACCTACAATCAGGAAAGGACAGTCTTTTCAATAAACGATGCGGGGAAAACGGGTTATCTGCATGCAGGGAATGAAACTGCACCTCTACCTCTCACCATTCACAAAAGTGAAATCAAAAAGCATTAAATACATGAGTCTAAGTCCTGAACCTATGAAACACATAGAAGAAAATATTGGGGAAATGCTTCAGGACATTTGTCTGAGAAAAGACATTTTGTTTAAAACCTCAGAAACACAAGTAATCAAAGTAAAAAGCAGACCACAGGGATTACATCAAACTAAGCAGCTTCTGCATTGCAAAACAAGCAACCAACAAAGTGAAGAGACAACCCACAGAATGGGAGGAAATATTTGCAGACTATGCATCTGAGACGGGATTTATAACTGGAAATATAAGAAGCTCACATAACTCAATAAAACAAAGAATTTAATTAAAAAATGAACAAAAGACCTGAACAGACATTTCTCCACAAATAAAACATATAAATGGCCATCATGTGTATGAAAGTGTTCAGTATCTCTCATCATCAGAGGAATACAAATGAAAAATCACAATGAATTTACATCTCACCCCATTAAAATGGCTTTTATCCATATGACAAGCAAAACAAATGCTGGCAAGATGGTAGGAAAAGGAGAACCCTGGTACCCTGTTGGTAGGAAGGTAAATTAGTACAGCCATTATGCAGAAAAGTATGGAACTTCTTTAAGAAACTAAAAAGAGGCTGGGCATGGTGGCTCATGCTTGTAATCCCAGCACTTTGAGGTCAGGAGTATGAGAGCAGCCTGGCCAATATGGGGAAACCCTGTTTGTACTAAAAAATACAAAACGTAGCTAGGCGTTGTGGCGTACACCTGTAATCCCAGCTCCCAGGGAGACTGAGGCAGAAGAATCATTTGAATCCAGGAGACCTCTGCCTCCCAGGAGGTTGCAATGAGCCTAGATTGTGTCAGTTGCACTGAGCCTAGATTGTGTCAGTTGCACTCCAGCCTGGGCTACAGAGGAAAGCTCTGCCTCAAAAACAAAAACCAAACAAAAGACTAAAAAGAGAATTTTCATAGTATTCACAAATTCACTACTGGGTTTACATCCAATAGAAAGGACTTCAGTGTATGGAAGTTCTATCTGCACTCCCATGACTGTTCCAGCACAGTTCACAGTAGCCAAGATGTGGAGTCCAGCTACCTGCCCATCAGTGGATGAACGGATAGAGAGAATGTAGTACATACACACAGTGGAGACTAGTCATCCATAGAGAAAATAACATCCGACATTTGCAGCCCATGATTGGAACTGGAGCTCATTACAAAAATTCCCAATTCTCACCCTTATGCAAGAGCTCTAAAGTGGATCTCAAGAAGGTAGAGAGTAGAATGGTGGCTACCAGAGGCCAGGAAGGGAATGGTGGAGGGTAAAAACAACACAAAACAAAAAACAAACCAAAAACAGAATATAAATGTATTTATGACCACTAGACTTTACACTTAAAAACAGTAAAGGTGGTCAATTTTGTAGGTATTTTTAACCTCAACAAATATTTTTTCAAATGAAAAGAAAAGGGTGTAAGGGTTGCTGGTGATGATATGTCTGTGGGTGAGAGGCCAGGATGGGCTTCCGGGAAATGAGTAAGATTGAGGGGCTGAGGGAACCTCTGATCTCCCCAAACTGAGCCCAGTCTCCCTCCTCTGGGTCTGTCCTGACCAGTTTCTCCATCTGCCTGGGTGCCTGGAGCCCTGACCGCGGACCACCACGCAGGCCATGCAGGAGGGTTTGGAGGTGCCCTCTCTGCCATGCTGCCTCCTGATCCCACCCTCACACCGAGGCTTGATCTTCTCTCTGAACCTGTCCATGCTTCTCTCCATCATCAGCAGGAAGTTCCTCAGCTATGGCTCTGGGATCATAAGACATGGGACAGGCATGTGCTTTCCTCACCTGTGACAGAAACGGGCAGTGGGTCACTCGGGTGTGACCACTTGTAGGGTGCGGTACGGAAAGAACCGAAGCATCTGTAGGTTCCTCCATGGGTGGCAGGGCCCAGAGGGAAGTCGCCCTGGAATGTTCCGTTGACGCTTCGCACTGCAGAGAGACTAAGTTCACGGGCCTCCCCCTCCCTGGATAGATGGTACATGTCAAAGGAGCACCGGGAGCTGCAGGACAAGGTCACGTTCTCTCCTGCCTGAACCGTGGGGCCCGGCTGGGCTGAGAGAGAAGGTTTCTCATATAGACCTGGAGGGAGAAGAGGCAATTTCTTCAGGGAGGTTCTTCCCTGTCCCAGCTCCCCTCACATCTGAGCTGAGAACTCACTCCTCGGATCTATGACCTAATGCTCTCTGTCACCCTCCACCCCGTCTCTCTTCATGTCTGTTTCCTCCTTCCACCTTCTCTGTCTCTCTAGGTCTCTGACCTCACTTCCCCAGCCTGAGGTGTGTTTTCCCTTTTTGTATTGTTTTCTTCTCTCTGATCCTCCTTGGATTCTTGACTTGATCTTCCTTTTTCTTTAATTCTGAGTTTCTCACTTTCTGTCTTGTTCATAACCTTCTGAACATTTCTATCTATTATCTATCGATCTATCTATCTATCTACTACCTGTCAATCTATCAATTATCTATCTGTAATCTATATCTATGTATCATTTATCTCTCTATCAATTGTCTGTCTCTCTATCTATCCACCATCTATGTATTATCTATATCTATATATCATCTGTCTATTCCCTCTCTATCTGTCTGCCTCTCTGTCTCTATGTATCATCTACGTATCTATGTACCTATCTATGTGTCTATCTATCTCTCTATCTATCTATCTCTCTATCTATCTATCGATCTATGTATCTATCATCATCATCATCTCCATGTATCATCTATCTATCAATTGCCATCTATGTATCTATAACCCATCCATTATCTATGATCTACCTATTTATCATCTATCTATATCTATCTATCTATCTATCCATCTACCATCTGTCTCTCTCCATCTCCTTGTCTTTCTCTGCCTCTCAGTCTCTCTAGTTCTATTTGGAATCTCTGCAATCCATCCCGACATCTTTATCTTTCTCTGTCTTTGTGCCCCCCGCCTTCAGGGTTCTGATTTTGGAGCTTTTCTCTCCTCCCTTCCATCATTCTCTCCACTCCTCTGCCCACTTTTCTGTCTCTTTATGTGTCTGTGAGTCTCTCAATCTCCTTCCTCTGGCTCATTCTCTGTGTGTTTATGTCTTTGCTTTTTGATGTTCCTGATTTCTTTTTGATGTCCCTGTGTCTCTCAGAAGTCCTATCATATGTGGGGTTATGTGGAATATGAGCCTCAGAATCCAGTGTGGGGACCCCAAGTACACACAGCATACAGGGGTTGGTGTTCTGGGGCCACGATGTCCTGGGACGATGACTCTCCACTGCACGGAAGGCAGAGGTGTCAGAACAAACACGGCATCTGTAGGTGCCACAAGGTCTGAGGCCACAGGGGCTGACTCAGGACAGAAATATGGGTGTCCTTGGGTTCTCCTGGTAGAAACGCTTTGTGGAGGTAAAACAGAAATGAAGTTTCTAACCTGTGCCAGGTATCTGAGCAAAGTCAGCACAGAAGGACGCCTCTCTCTGGGACATGTCTGTGTCTGAGTGTCCCCTTTAACTCTTTCTCTCTTTTCTACCTCCCTGTGTGGCCCCTGTGTCTGTCCTCTGTTATGACACCTGGTCTGTACTTGTGTCTCCTGTTTCTCTGTCTCTGTTGGTACAGACCTCCCCAAGTGAGTCTCTCTCCATAAGAATCCCACACTCATCTTCCTCATGACCACCCGGGGCTTCCAAGTCCTAGATCGTTCACTCTGTGTCCCAGTGACAATGAGAAGAATGTCCGGACACTCTCACCTGTGATCACGATGTCCAGGGGGTCACTGGGAGCTGACAACACATAGGGGGAGTGAGTGACAGAACCGTAGCATCTGTAGGTCCCTGCAAGGTCAGACGTCGTGGAATTGATGGAATAGTTGGCCTGGGAACCCCCACCGTGGAGCTCTCCAACAAGGTGCAAGGGCTTCTCAAAGGTCACCTCACTGTGCAGAAAGAAGTGCCCAAACACGGTATCTGACGAACATTGTAGGGTGACCGTCTCTCCTGATTTCACCAGGGGACCTGGGAGGGCCAGGAGGGAAGGTTTTCTGTGGACTCCTAGAAAGAGAGGTTGTGAGTTTAGAAGGCGTCTCCCTTTGTCATCATATCCATGGCACCTGGAATGAGTGAGGGTTCCCCTCCCCGCTGTCTGTCTCTCTCCTCCCTCTCTGTGTCTCCCTGTCTTTTATCCCCTGGTGCAGGTCCCTCCATCAGTGTCCCTCCCTCTTCTCTGTCCATCTGTCTCTAGTAGCCTCGGACGCCCTTCCCACTGGGCTCAGCCTCATCTCTTAGGCTGCTGTATCTGTTTCCCACTAATCTGTTTCCTGCTGTCTATGTGGGGCTGGAAGAGGAACCATGGCAGGCTGCATGTCCAGGCTCTTAGCAGCCTGGTTCAATCTGTTTTGGACAAACTGGAGTCCCTGTCAGGAGGAATGAACTGATCAGTAAGGCAGGCACCAGTGTCCACACCCCCTGTTCCTGGTGGGGATTGGGAGCCTCTCCTGCCATGCCTGTGCCTTCTCCATGGCCTCAGCTTCCACAGGGTGGCTCCTGGTGCTGGTTCGAGGAGCATCGACCTCTCCCTATGTGGATGGAGCCTGGTGGTGGCATCAGCGTCCCGCCCTTCCTGATCTCGGGGTTGCCAACGTTCTCCTTGTTTGGTTTCTTTAATTAATTGATTAATTAATTGATTTTTGAGACAGAGTGTCACTTTTTCACCCAGGCTGGAGTGCAGTGGTGTGGTCTTGGCTCACTGCAACTTCTGCCTCCCGGATTCAAGCGATTGGATGCAGTCGTTGGTTTACTCGTGCCCACCACCATGCCCAGCTATCGTTTGGTTTCTTAACTTGTCTTTCACCATGTTCCTGTGTTGGTTTCTTGTTGCTGCGGCAGAAAATTATCACAAACATGGTAGCAGGAGAGAACACACTGACCCCTTCCACTTCTGGAGACAGAAATTGGATCCAGTTCTCCCTGGGCTAAAATCCAGTCATCTACAGGGCCGCGTTCCCGCTGGAGACTCAGCGGAGCAGTTCTCTTGACTTCTCCAGCTCATAGAGGCCACCTGCCATTGTGGCTCGTGGCCTTCCTCCACCTTCAAAACCCACAGTGGCTGGTACAGTCTCCCACGACGCTGCTCTAATCCCCACTCCCCTCTCCTCCTTCTCTCGTTTGGTGCCTTGTGATTCCACTGAGCCCAGTGGGACAGTCCAGGCCATCTCCCCATCTCAAGGTCAACTCACAACAACCTCAGCTCCATCTTCCCCTTCAGTCCCCTGCCCTATAGCGTAAAGAGTCACAGACTCCAGGGATGAGAATGTAGCCATATTGGGGACAGTTATTCTTCCCATCACAGCACCCATTTCCCTGAGTTCAATCCCCCTTTACCCCAAAGACAGTCAGGTCCTGGGTGATGGGACCCTGGTGGACACCCCCAGCAGAAGATCTGGGATTCAGGAGGTGGGACAAGGAGAAGCCCAGACAGGAGCCCTCTGACCTGTGACCCTGATCGCCAGGGGGTCACTGAGTGCCGACCACTCAGTGGGGGAGTGCGGGTATGAACCCCGACATCTGTAGGTCCCTGCATGTGCCGGGGTCACAGGGCCCATGAGGAAGCTCTCCTGGAATATTCTGCTGTGGAAGATGGGAACGTGGCTTCTGTCGTCTTTGTACAGAGTGAAGTTGGTAAAGTTGTTAAGTCCATCACGATAGTAACACCGAAGAGTCACGTGTCCTCCCTGAGGCACCACAGCGCTAGGCCGGGCAAACAAGAAGGTCTTGTCCTGATCACCTGGGGGAAAAGGAGGTGCCGCCTTAGAGAGGAGGATGTGGAGCCGCCCCTCCCTCCCTGTGCTGAGAATATTGTTCCCCTTTCCATGTTTCTAAGGCTGCTACCGCACCTGGGTATCCAGGGCTACAGGAAGGACCCATCCCACATAGACATGGCGTCTCCCTACAACAAAGGTGTCAGCTGAGAACTTTGAACAAGTGCTGAATAAGGGACTCTTACTAGATTTTAACACTTCAAGATCACTCACATAAAACAACACAAAGTGGACACGGCATGGAGGGCGTGTGCTTTATGAATGGAATATCAGCCAGTGCATGAACTGAGTCCCCATCAGAGATTTGGAATGTCAGGGTCATGGCTGTGGTTTCCCCACCTCTTCTGGTAGAATGACAGCAGCCACACTGCAGCCCTGACCGTCATGGAAACACTGGAGGGTGTTTGTTACACCTTTGTCTTCAGAGGACCTGCTGTTCCTAGCACTGCTTCCTACCCTTCCTCCGTCGCCATCACCACTTCCTCCCTGCACACCTCAGCTTGGAGCACCCCAACCTCACCCCGGTCTTCACAGTGCTTGACTCAGCCAAGGGTAAGAAAGGCCAGAGAGGACGAGGTCAGAAGTGTGAGCCGAGCACCCCAGGGTCCCCCCTTCTTATTGTATGAGAGACTGTCTGACAGGACTTCCCTCTTGTTTCAGGAAAATCCTCTTAGGTGGGGAGATGACACCCTAAGGTTTGGGGAAGGACTCACCCGTGTGTGGACAGGCCCTCTGGACCAAGAACAACCCTGGAAAGAAAGATCATGATGGATATCCATCTGCAGGCAAACCAGGGCCTCCCCTGCTGCCCCCACTGGGCTGTGCGTCTGGGCAGCCAGGCCCTTGCTGAGCTGAAGGTAAACTCACCCTGGCTGCCTACCTGCCCCCGCAGCAGAGATCTCAGCTGTGCAGAGACCCAGTCTCCTGATCCAGATCTGCACCCCAGGCCTCGATCTACACAACAGGCCCATATGTCCACTCCATGATGATATCTCTACTCCAGGCCCATATCTCCGCTCCAAACCCGTATCTGCCCTCCAGGTTCATATCTCCACCCCAGGCCCATATCTCCAATCCAGGCCCATATCTCCCCTCCAGGCTCATATCTGCACTCCAGGCCCATATCTCCACTCCAAACCCATATCTCCCTTCCAGGCTCCTATCTCCACCCCAGGTCCATATCTCCACTCCAGGCTCATATCTCCCTTCCAGGTTTCTATCTCCCCTCCAGGCTCATATCTCCACTCCAGGCCCATAATTCCACTCCAGACCTGTATCTCCACTCCAGGCTCATATCTCCACTCCAGGCCCATCCCTCCATGCCAGGCTCATATCTCCACTCCAGGATCATATCTCCACCCCAGGCCCATATCTCCACTCCAAGATCGTATCTCCACCCCAGGCCCATATCTCCACTCCAGGCTCATATCTCCTCTCCATGCTCATATCTCCACTTCAGGATCCTATCTCCACCCCAGGCCCATATCTCCAATCCAGGCCCATATCTCCACTCCAGGCTCATATCACAATTCCAGGCCCATGTCTCCATTCCAGGCCCATATCTCCACTCCAGTTTCATATCTCTACTCCAGGACCCTATCTCCACTCCTGGCTCCTATCTCCACTCCAGGCCCAGATCTCCTCTCCAGGCCCATATTTCTGCTCCAAACCCATATCTCCCCTCCAGACTCATATCTCCCCTCCAGGCTCCTATCTCCACTCCAGGCCCCTATCTCCACCCCAGGCCCATATCTCCTCTCCAGGCTCATATCTCCACTCCAGGCCCGGATCTCCTCTCCAGGCCCATATTTCTGCTCCAAACCCATATCTCCCCTCCAGGCTCATATCTCCCCTCCAGGCTCCTATCTCCACTCCAGGCCCCTATCTCCACCCCAGGCCCATATCTCCTCTCCAGGCTCATATCTGCACTCCAGGCTCATATCTCCACTCCAAATCCATATCTCCCCTCCAGGTTCATATCTCCCCTCCAGGCCCAGATCTCCACTCCAGGTCCATATCTCCACTCCAGACCCATATCTCTACTCCAGGAACATATTTCCACACCAGGCTCCTATCTCCACTCCAGGCCCAGATCTCCACTCTAGACCCGTATCTCCACTGCAGGCCCGTATCTCCACTCCACGCTCATGTCTCTACTCCAGGATCCTATCTCTAATCCAGGTCCATATCTCCACTCCAGGCCCATATCTCCACTCCAGGCCCATATCTCCACCCCAGGCCCATATCTCCTCTCCAGGCTCAAATCTGCACTCCAGGCTCATATGTCCCCTCCAGGCCTGTATCTCCACTCCAGGTCCATATCTCCACTCCAAACCCATATCTCCCTTCCAGGCTCCTATGTCCACTCCAGACCCTATCTCTACTCCTGGAACATATCTCCACTCCAGGCCCAGATCTCCACTCCAGGATCATATCTCCACTCCAGGCCCATAACTCAACCTCCAGGTCCAGATTGCCCCTCCAGGCCCAGATCTCCACCCCAGCGCTTCCTCCCTCGATTCCCTTCCGGGACTCACCAACACACGCCAGGCTGAGGACCATGAGCGACATGGTGCTGCCGGTGCAGACAGGCGGCCGCGCCCCAGCTCAGCTCAGCAGCGCACAGGATGTTATCTGGCGCCCTGCCCATGCAGTTGACGTGCTGACCACATCATGGGAGGGTGACGTACGCAGGCTCTTCCTACCTTGCATGAGGTGCAGCGGGTGCTCACTCAAGAGTGGAAAATGGCTTCCTGGAAATGGTTCTCACTAGAACTGACACCTTGTGTCCTTCACTATGACCAGCTCAAAACACGTCTCAGATCCAACCTCCCGGACACGAGGTGACTAAAATCTGTGCTGACGAGAAAGACTTTTCATGTATTTTTGTTGTTTTTATCTGTGTTTCAAACTCTTCTTAGTGTGTAATATGTAAAATATCTAATAGGTATTATGAACGTTGTCAGAGCAATTGTGACGAATAAACCATTAGGATGTTTCATGCTTGTATTTCTAGTATGACAGCAGAACCAGTTTAAATGATTTAAATACCCAGGGAAGGATTATGCCATTATTTACAATCTTAAACTGTTCTTCATCAGCAAAACCCACAACATGTCAATTCTGGATTTTTGTCACTTTATCTACAATTTGTCTCATGACCTGAGATTCCAGAGTCCCAGCACATGGTTCGCTCTCTGTCTGTCTCTCTGCCTCCCTCATTTTAAATTGTATGGAAATATCCAGTAACATAATGCTATAAAAAATCAAGTGTCCCCCAGCACTTTGGGAAGCCGAGGTGGGCGGATCAACGGAGGTCGGGAGTTCGAGACCTCCCTGGCCAACTTAGAGAAACCATGTCTCTGCTAAACATACAAAAATTAGCCATGCCTGGTGGTGGGCACCTGTCATGCCAGCTACTCAAGAGGCTGAGGCAGGAGAATCGCTTGAACCTGGGAGGTGGAAGTTGCAGTGAGCCAAGATTCTGCCACTGCAGTCCAGCCTGGGAGACAGAGCGAGACTCTGCCTGAAGAAATATAGAAAAAGCGTAGCAAATAGCCTATAATAAGAAACTAGAGGACTCCAGCTACCAAATTTTAAGGGTTTGTATAAGCCTACGGAATGTGCAGCATCCTCAAGAGAGTGAACACAGAGAGACCCTTATCGGAAAACAGTATCTAAAATACATCCGTGCACACACAGTCCCGTTAGAGCTCACAAGGCTGCCGTGTGGTTTAAGGAGGAGTAGAATGTCTTCTCCATAGATAACATGGGCCCAAGGGTTACACATAGAAAAAAATAAATCTACACGTATTCTCACACTATAAAACACTTCTTGTTTTTAATCTTGTTGTTGTAAATTTTTTATGATTTATATTTAAAATTGAGAAATAAAAGTGAGATACAATCGTCCTTCACTATTCGTGAGTGATTGGTTTCAGGATCTCCGCTCAGATACCACAATTCGCAGATGCTCAAGCCTCTTACATAAAATGGTACAGCGTTTGCATATAACCCATGCTCATCCTCCTATATACATGAAATCATCTCTAGATTACTTATAATTCCTGACACAGCCTACATACCATTTCATTTGTGTCCATTCAACATAGTTTTGCTTTTTGAAATTTTGTGGATTTTTTCTCTGAATATTTTTGATTTATAGTTGGCTCAACAAACACCTGTAAACCCCACAGATCTGGAGGAGCGACTGTGTATTTATGGTATGAAAGATGATGTGTTGACATGTGTCCCCGTGGAGATGAGACTAACAAGGCCTATGACTCTACAGATGTTTCATCTTGGAATGGCTCTGCTAGCTTTCCAGGTCTGCAGAGAGTAAGAATATCACTTGTTCATCTGATTCACGATCCTTGCAACCTCCTATGTGTTGCATCGTTAGGTGGAAATTGGAGTTCCAGACAGAAATCAGGCTCCACTCTGCCTCCAGAAGCTCAGAGTCCAGGGGTGAGAACCCAGTGCAGAACATATGGGGCTATACGGACATGGTAATGATAACACCAGAAACTTTCGGCGAATAAAGAGTCACATTACCTAAAGGATGAGGGCAGACGTGTTTATTTGAAGAGGAGAGAGCTACATTGAAATGATAAACAAATTTATAAGTTTCACTGCTGACAGAAGGCTGAAAGATAGTCTGAGGGGAGGTGGAACAGCATGAGGGAAGGTGGAACAGCACGTGTCTAAGTGCCGTGTTAAGAGGGAGCCTCCTGTATGTCTGGAATTGTGAGTTCCTCGGTGTGATCGCAGCCTCCAGTAGGACTAGGAAGTAAGCCAGTAGGTTGGAGAGGTGGGCTGGGGTCAAGTGAAGTGGAGAATTGTGGGCTCAGCAAAGGAGTGTGTTTTCTCTGCAGCAGGCAGTGGGGACCTTAGACATTTGTAAGCAAGAGAGAGGCACGTTCAGATTCGTGGTGTGAGGAAGAGCGATGCCCTAAGATGCAGACTCACACCTTCAGATTCCTGCGGCTGGTACATTGGAGCTGTGAAGCCGGTTTTGAGGCAGGGCTGTTGTCTCCCTAGAAGACCCCTACAAGGCCTGACGGTGGTGCTCATGGATAGAAGACAACTTTCGATCTGGGCTCAGCATTTGGAAGTTCCGTGTACACGCTGGTATCTGTTGGGGGTGTCTTGGGCTTCTGAGAAGGGTGAGTGATTTTTCCCTGTGTGAGAACGCGGTGATCCAACTGTGCGTATGTCACCTCCAGAGGGTCTTGTTCTTCAGAGTCCTGGAGAGAGGGAAATGTTGAGTGAGGGAGGGGCTCACATTCTTCAGGCCTCTTAGGGAATAAGATTTGATCCACGAGGCTGGGGCGAGGAGCACCTACCTCCCTGTTCACCGTTCTGTCCCCCGCAGGCTCTTGGTCCTTTACAGCAGCATCTGTAGGAGACAAAAGTCATCAAAACAGCTGAGAGGGCACGTCTGGGTCCTCATTTCATGTGCAGAGTCCAACACACAGGGGAGGCCGTAGGTTCCTGAGGTCCCTCAGCTGCCAACAGCCAGACTCAGACATTCTGTCTCTCTGAGTTCAAGACCCCTTCCCATGAACGGCTCTCAACTGGCATCCCAGTGATTCTGCCTCCCACTTTCTGCCTGTCATGGAACCTTCTCCTGGATGTCAGGGGCTGCAGGGACATGAGGATACAGTTGAGAATCAGGCAATGGTCTGTGAGCTGAAGGCAGGGACAGGGTGTCTGGTGCTCTCTCTAGAACGCTCTGCCTCTGTGGCTCCTGCCTTGGGCCAGAGACCATCCTGCCGGTGAGGAACACACACCTTCCTGCTCCCATCCCGCTTCCCCACACGACCTGAGGTCTCTGGCCTCTGCTTCGTGAGACTTACTCTTTTTGTTGGAGCACCAGCGATGCAGGAGAAAGAAGAAGATGGTGAAGAGGATCATGACCACTGAGGTCCCAATCAGAACATGCAGGTGTCTGGGGATACCTGGAGGAAGAAGAGACTCCAATAAGAAGCTAATCATAGCAGTTCCTTCTTATGGATTGTCTCTCGTTTCTTGATTGACAGGTAACCATGTGGAATGTCTCCTTAGGACAAGCGGCCTGATGTCGGGAGACCCAGCTTTCTCCTGCTCTGTTTTGAGGAAGGAGGAAGGGGACCAGGAGCCAAGGAACGTGGGAGCCTCTAGAAACTGGGATATATGAAGAGCAGATTCTCGCCTGGAACCTTCGGAGGGAAGGCAGCCTTGCTGTCACCTTGATTTTAGCCCAGTGAGGTGCATTTCATCCTTTGAGCTACAGCACTGTAAGAATTAAAAAGCCGTTTTGTTTTCATCCACCAATTTTGTGGAAATTTGTTATGGCAACAGTAGAAAAGGATTCTAACTGCACAGCCTGAGCATGGGGCCATGGCTGAATGAGTCAGTGAGTCGGAGTGTGCGTGCAAGGCTCTTTACTGCAAGGCTCTGGCTCTGCTGAGTCAGCCAGGGTTGCCTCATGACCCACAGGAGTTCATTCCTTGGCAAGTGGAACTTCTCTAAAACACCTCACCCTCATTAGATGTTCCCTTCCCTTCCCTCTTTCAAGCCCCCAGGAATTTATCCTCCAGTTAGGAATGCAGGGAGAACACTGCATTTTTCCTGAGAAGGATGTCAGATTTGCAGTCATTCTTCCAGCTTGTAGGAGGTCTCAGCTACAGAAAATTAGAGATGAAGAGACTTCACGGAGCCCTGTGCTGGGCCAAGATCCCTTTTGCTGTTGGAGTGTCTGGAGTTCAGAGAGATAGTGCAAGACAGGCCCACAGTCAGAGCTGGGAGGTGCTGAGCCAACACTTGAATCCAAGGCTTCCACCTCCCCAGGTTTCCAAAAGCAGAAATAAGAGGGATTCTTTACTCACTGGTTTTGGAGCTTGGTTCAGTGGGTGAAGGCCAACTACGTGAAGGGTTTCCTAGAACAGAGACAGGAGAGAGGTGAGGAAATGAGGGTGCCTGTCCTCTACTCAAGGGAAATCTTTGAGGTTGGTTCACGGCCAACACTCTGTTATCCAACACTGGGCTCTGGGAGTCCTGGGGTCCTCTTCTCCATAATTTTTGTATGTGTTACCCATTGTCTCGAGACTTTAACATATAGAGAGAAAACAGGAACATCACATTACCTGACTTAAAAATATGTTACAGAGCTGTAGTAAACAAAACAGCATGACGCTGGCATAAAGAAAAGTGCATAGAACAACGGAGTAAAATGAAGAACACAGATACAATCTATGCGTCTACATTCAACGGCTTTTTTTTTTTTTTTGAGATGGAATCTTGCTCTGTCACCCAAGCTGGAGTGTAGAGGTGCAATCTCGGCTTACAGCAACCTCTGTCTCCTGAATTCAAGCAATTCTCTTGCCTCAGACTCTCGAGTAGTGGTATGACAGGTGCTGACCACCATGCTCAGCTAAGTTTTGTACTTTTAGTGGAGACAGGGTTTTACTATGTTGGCCAGGTGGGCCTCGAACTCCTGGTCTCAGGTGATCCACCCACCTTGGCCTCTGAAAGTGCTGGGATTGCAGGTGTGAGCCACCATGCCCAGCCAATCCAATGCATTTTGACAAAAGTGTCAAGA